AGTCTGTTGGAAGGAATTTCTCTCCTCATTAGACGACACAACGCAAGTCCTGCACAAATCGTTCTCAAGAGACTTGATTTTTGCCTCTCAAAGGGAAGGAAGAAGTAGCCTTATTGGCCAATATCTAACAGCTTTACCTGTCAAAAGCGGATACTGTTTACGGCCACAAACTTTTAACTCACTGCGTTAAATTTTAACGTGTAGTATGCACATTTTTCCTTGAAATCTGTAAAGACTCCAGTCTTTCGGTGAAAATTCCATTCTTCCATGATATCAGAGTAAAACCATGAGGGGACCCCTTTATGCAACCTCGGATGGGATGGAGAGGGGAATATACCACCACACCTACTTCCCTAGTCCTTCTCTGATGGTAATATTCTCAACCTCTATTTATTATTACCTTTTTTAGCACCAGGTATTCCTCATTAGACCAGGCAGTTGGAGAATAAACCTGGGACAGGTAGGGAAATGGCGAGGGTTGAGTCTGGTCAATTGCTACTGGAGATGAAATATTTTACTAGGGAAAGACTTTCGGGTAGCTTACCGTTCATTAAAAAAGACGGACATTCTCATTAGGTTTTTTAACAAAAAGAAGATTTTACGAATTGACTTATTTCTCTACTACTTCCTTGGAGTGTCAATCGAGTGACATATGGCTGACAACTTTTCACCACTGGATGAATTTCACAACCCTCACTGATTCTCTGAGGAAAGTCGACATCCAAGTGGGTTGGACAATAAAGGGGGAAAGATCTCTTTCACAATAGGCTGAATCATTGCAGATATATATCAAAATAGTGGAGAAATTGACGGACAAAAGTGTCACAAACAGTTGGAGAAGCCATTAGAGGTGGCAGCAAGAAAAGAAACTTAATGCTGCATAAACAAGTAAAGAGCATTCTATATGGACTCTTTTCCTGACAAATAACTTTATATTGCCCGTTGCAGCAAGCAAAAGTCACATGTGAGCAAAAGTTTCTTTAAAATTATGATTGACGTGTGAAATGCTCATGCTATGTACCTCGCTCAGGTGCAGCTGCTGCTCACTAAAGACGCCCTTTATCAACCAAAATTTGCAGATTTTACTGCCTTGCCTTAAAATCTGCCAAATATATCACCCTTAATGGATTTTAGAAGAGGCTCACCTTCTCAGGATCCTATTTTCCATCTACTGCATGGACCGTTGCCCTAATGGTTGGGGCAGTAGGGTAAATCATGGGCCTGCAAAAGACAGTAATACAACGAGGCAGGGCATTTTTCTGCCTCTTATTCAGGTTTATAGGCCCAATGAAATGAGGAGTTGCTCAAATTACACAGATTTTTTCTTTTAATGGGTAGAGTGACTACATTCAAGAGAATATAATTTTTTCAAAACTGTTAATATCTAAAACGATGACTATCGTGGGAATACAGGAGACACTCGTGTTGGAAGGAACTTGTGCTTGTACATGGCGCCACCGTGGCAGTACCTCAAGAGGTGGTAAGCACCAGGTATGACATATCATAGCATACCATATCATGTTATGGATCAAGACGTGACGTATGGTAATTCCTTCCTACTTGTTGCTACTTGAGTAAGTAAACTTCAGAGGATTTCACTAGAATTTCTTTTATATGTATGCCGATTAACTATGATTGGCGAAAGTGGGATGATAAACCAAAGCTTTTTAGAGGTAAAACCCCGTTTTGCGCAACACAATGACTATTGAAATGTAACGACTTGAAACTGTTTCCCCGCATTTTGTATAAATAAAGCAAACACTAAATCTGGTATAGAGTCAAAGGCCAGTTGTGAGCGTTTCGTTCTGCACTCCAAGTCAATGACACGCGCCTTTTTATCATAGGCAATCGCAAGAGCAACACAAATGGCGGTAGGTCTGGATGTAAAAAAACATTCTTCTACCGATACGTGCATCCAACCTCGATACATGTCAAAAGGCGGTGCGACTCAAATGCAAATTCGCACATCAACACAAAGCGTCGCAATTTATAGCTGTAATGATGCTGCATGTCATGCAGATTACGATTGTAACCCTCTTAATACCGCAGAACTGAAGTAAATTGCAGTGTATTCCTTTCATGCGGTCTCAGGAGTGTTTCGCTACTAACAAACAATAAGTAGATACCAGCCATTATAGCCATAAAGCTCCCTTTTGTCGTCTTTCGTTAATTACTAGTTAAATCACTTTGACAACTCTAAAAAGGTTGGTTAAATTGGTCCTTAGTTTAAACTTGCAAATTTTACAGATTTTTAGATTGGTTGAATCGATCTTACAGAATACAGCTGGACTACTCGAAAAGCCTAGTGCCTAAAGTTGGTTTTGCAAAAAAGTATCGTACTGACACTCTTTTTATGTATCATTTTACCATCACGCATCTACTGCTAATACCAGATTAATTGAACTGCCGAAGGCATTACACCTCGAGCATAAAATTAGGCTCTGCTGGGAAATTTCTGCCTTATTTTCATCGAATCCTAAGCCCATTTAAAGTGTTTTATTCAAAATAAATCCTAACTGGTTAATCATGCTGTTATATGCGAAATGCTTAACAATGCAGTCCTAAAAACATCTATTACGGATACTAACTTGGAATTTTAAAGCAGCACTTTATCACTTTGAGGCTAAGTGTGGAAACTGGTTATCAGATAACAAAGTTGTTTTAAATGCTAAATATGCCAATCAAAAAAAGTTTTTAGAGGCATAAATCGGACCTCGCGTTTATCTAGACAATTCGTCTTCGGCAAGGAATTGCTCTAGGTTGCTATCCATTCACAAGTACCATTCCTTCGTCACGAGGAAGCTTTACGTGATACCACTAATCAAAATAACTAAAAATATTTGGTATTAAATAAACCTGAGGTTTTATTACTCCAATTATTTCCACATCAACCGGGAACATAAAGTTAATGATGGTGGGCAACTTGGTTTTGCCTACACAATTAATGGATGACCATACGCTCAAATACCTATTAATTTGTCCTTCAGCCCCTTCAGCTCAAAAAAGAGTGCGTTGCATGTTAGCCGGCTAAATGAGTGACTGATTAACTGGCGTACCGAAAAGCGAACCAGTTGATTGACTTTTAACGAAAAATGGCTTTTTACTTCGGTCCAGCAGTCCTTAGGGCATTACTTCGTCGCATGCTTTAGGTCTATGGCTACTTCATGTGTGGTGGAGTGCAGACAAAAGTGTCTACGTGGTGAAGAATAACCAACAATTGTAACCGAGGTCCATCCATACTGCGTAGTGAACCTCTAAGGTGTGGAAGAGCGGTACTGCTCTTGAAACTGTCAAGATGGGTCACTTTTTTGGAAGAATATCCCCATCTCATTTGGCTATCCGACTCAAGTCCTCCCGCCGCATACTACAAAACAGGGAGTAAAATACAATTTCGTCCTTCTCTTCCGTGTTCTGCTCGTGGAAACTCTCTGCGTGATTATTGCCTTTACATAGCAATAGACAGAACATGCAAAGTAGCAATAAATTACAACCTTATGTCTAGCTGGGATTACTTCATAGCAGACTTATTTTACAAGAAGTGTGCGAGATTTGCTTCACCTACTCTACCCGTTTACTTTATTTACTCTTCCATCCCCGTACTTAATCCCAAATAAAAAAATTTTATTTGTAAAAATTGGAATTCAACTTTTGGTTTAAATTCAATATATTTGCCATAAAAGAAGTCTTTCAATTCATCATCAAGCACAAATTTCCCCTCAAACTAATGAAAATGCCTAGAATCTGTATCGACTGTAGACGTCAGGTTTATCACATGGGGTCATGGATAAAGTCAGCTTAACTGATACAATTGAACTACGAGAAATTCATTCCAAATGTAAAGCACTCAAACTGGTGACCATTCACCAATACAAAATCAAATATCGGGCTTTCCTACTTAAATGCGGGAAGCATGTAGTACGTCTGCTATCCCTTGTATTCATTCAGGCCTGGTATTTATTATTAAGGGCTTTTTTCCTTGTTTTGACAAAAAAATTACCTTTAACTCCTAAGAGTATATTGGAGGCAATTTATTGTTTTTTCGCTAAAAGAGAAATTAACTCGTCCTCAAAACATAGATTTTACTTTCCTTCTACTAGATTTTGAACCGTTTAAACCTTCTTGATAAAGTAATTTTAGAAAATACCGAACCATACAAGTGCTTCTTAAATCCGGTCTCCTATATTTTGTAAAATTGTTTCAAAATGTTTAGCATTTGTGAAATTCTAATGCCTGATCTACATAGATAGACCGCGTCTATCCGACAAGGATGCTGTCAGCCCTTCATTAGCCATCATCTTAATCTCACACCACTTCTGGTTACCATGCAGCACTACTAAAGGCTCCTGCCGGGTCGGCACTGAGAACCTCTCTTCCGTCCATAGTGCCTTTGTAGAAAAATTTTGAATAAATTAGTGCAGGATGGGTGGATTAAGCCAGGAGAGATGGCAGAGATTTAAAATCATGAATTTAAATTAAGTGCAGAAACTGATCTAGGGTGAGTGATTAATTATGGAGAAAGTGGATAGCTTCACAATAGCCAAATGAATCTAGAATAAATACTTTTAGGATGGAGGAATGGACACATCCAGAAAAAAACTTGAAATGAGAATGGTTGCATCAGAATAACTAGATGAAGAATTTATGAACTGACTTACTACAGATATCGCCACCTTATTTTTTTCTAAAAAGGGGTTTCTGCTCGGTCATACTTCAGAAGGTTACTGCTAGTTTTGGAGTCGGTAGACGACCTTGAACCGTGGTTGAGGATGAGGTATTTGGGCTAGTTTGCAGTGACAATTAACCCTTTCTGCACAGGTCACGTAGGTGGGCGGTAATAACACAGCCTGAGCAGTAATGACAATTTTTCAATGTTCACATAGCTTAAAGCCCTAGAAAGGATCAAGACGTACGCTTTCTAGATTCAGCCGTTCTGAGCCTTCACTGTCGAATTCGAACTTTTACTCTTCTTCACTGTCAGCGAACTCATGGCCTTATACCTACTAAGCCGGAAGGAGTGTAGAATTGCCACCCGAGTCGTGGTGGAACTCACTGATACTGTTGGCAATGAAGCCAACGGACTGGGAGGTTACGACTAGAGCCGGGCGCTGAGAATTTGCAGTAGAGTCTCCAAAATCCTGGCTTGTGTTCGCCCAACTTTTGCCTCCTGAAGTTTCATGTGCTTCAACCAATGCTGGAGTGGTATAAACTAAGCCCTGAATTGTCTGTAATTTAAGCACTGCGACACCAATTCTTATGCTCCAGGCTGAACAAAGTGGTATTTCTGCGGTTACTTATCCTGATCGGAAAGTACGCGGAAACAACCACGATTCAATGTATTTGCAACCAGGCTGAATCACTTGAGATCTCCAAAAGAAAATATCGCTGAAAAGGCTCCTTTAAAGAAAGCAATCCACGTTGAATTTCAAAGCAACTGAAAACGAGTGAAATTTGACAAAAATGTGGGAATGGGCTCTGACTTGTCAAAGGGAACCACGTTTCAGCATTTGCAAGTCAAGTCTCAAGTGTTTAGTCAAATATATTTGTTGCAGCGGCTGACTATAACGCGAGTCATTGTCACATTTTTGGAGTCTTTTCTGCAATCTTTGGTATCAGGTCTCAGGATCTAAAAGACTGGCTAGAAAAGACACTTTATTTTGAGCGGTGAATGGGATTATATAGAGGTCAAAGATTTATGCTGGATAAACAATTAAATTTTTCTCCTTGTTCTCCTTCCTTTGCAGGAATCAATGAAATCGGTGTAGAATGGTACTGCATCACTCTGAACACCTTTTGAAGACGCAGTAGCACTCAGCGGTATGGAGGTATGTTTACTATCAATGCTTAGAAGAGGTAAAAGGCTGTCAGAATGGACGAGACACCTTAAAATTCTGTGTTTGGTTCACGGGTTTACTCATTATACACCAGCCACAGATGAATGCCATGAACCAAAGCAAGATAAAGTCTCATAATTTTCGTTGACTTAAATGGATAGCTCCACGGACCACAATGTTATTATTCCCACCTTTAAATCCTCAGGGCTGGACGATATTCTATGGCGAGTTCTTTCATTATTATCTAGTTTATTTCAAGGCACTAAAAGATAAACAACTTTTGACTGTTCTCCTGTCATGTCCCTGTATTACTCGCCCCAGATTTATTCGCCATTACCTGATAACACTTCTGCACGAATTAAACCCATCATCAAGGCGTCGAAATGGGATAGATGGAGGAGTTTAAATATTTCCAGAGGTCGTCAGATAGGGCGTCAACGAAGACATTAACATGAAAACTTGTGTATCTGCCTCTAACCGACTCATTTTGCATCCAATCACGGGGGCTTTTTCTTTTTAGCCATCTTACTGATTTTATTCCTTCTTAATTTATAGCACTTTATTTAAATCCGCATAAATTTATTTGCAGACTACTTTTTTATCCTTATATTAAGGGGAACAAATATTTCTACTTCCTTTTACTTTGTGACGGGACAATTAAAGCTCGAAGATTAAGTGACACTTGCAACACCAGAAGAGTGGAAGATTGCTTGCGAGGGAAAAGTGCCTACTTACAAGTTGTCCCCTCCTACTATCTTCTCAGGTGATTGACAATGGGAAAGTCGTGTTAAGTGTTTTCCCTTAGTGCTGTTGTTACACCTTTCTGACTGTTACCAGGCGACGAAAACACCACCTTTGCTGTCCTTATTAGCAAGTATTCTTTAAGTCTTTATTCCTCTATACTGTGACTTTGGTTTAAGGTGGGACAAGATGGTGGGCTCTGTAGGACCTCGGGTCTTCCCTGGAGGTATAAAGGGTCATACTACTGGTTTGAAGAAGATTTACGTTGAACGCATTTAGTGGTCCCAAAGCTAAAGATACATCAAGCAGGTCATTTAGCTAGGCGAAAGTGCATCACTGCAAAGTGATTTATCATGTCTTAGTTTTCGACTTTTACACCTAACTCTAAAGGTAAGTCTAAATTTTTTACTTAAAAACCGATATAGGACAGTGTGGTTCTTATTTATCTGACAGGATTGTGATTTTCATTGCTTAAAACAACCACCTTTTTTATCACCTAGCCACCCTGTATCCATCTATCTTTTGCAGGCCTTGCACCCATACGCCTATCCTCTATCCATTAATCTATCTACTCATCCATCCATCCCTTCATGCTCAATTAGAAGTTTGGTAATGGTTAGACACTCCAAGCACCTTTCATAAAATCCTTATTTAAAATATCTGCTTAAATTATTAAACCACTAAAATAATCTACCAACAAAGTATTAAGCTATCAGGAACAAAGTCCTTCGTAATTAATACTTATTTTAAAAAACAACCATCATGATAGGTTCAAAGATTGAGCAATGGCTTATCAAGACAAAAGTCAAAATCAAAGACTCACCTTTTAACATCAAAAATTTAAATGAGACACTAGTATGGTTTTTTGTTTTTTGATGACCTAGTGTCAGAAGTTAATTTGCTTTTACTATGAACTCGCGGAAAAAATGAGAAAACCTACAGAGAAGTCTTTTACTACAGCCCTTCTGTTGGGTATGAGAATCCTGATTCATAAAACAAGTGCCTTAGTACACCTGACCACACATGTCTTTCCGCCAGATTCTTGATATAAAGATAGTCTTATGAGAATTGAGTTTTACCATCTTCACATTACATACAAATGTCGACCATTTCTTTAAAAAACACGAGTTCAAGCCTTTTTTGCCTAAACTTTAAACAGGGGATCCTCCAATCGGAAGTCTTTATAGGAACAAAATAAAGTGAACAGAAACATTTTATTCTTGCCGTCCTAGTTACCAACAAACATTGGGGAGTTGTGATTGCAACTTCATTCCTCACTCTTGTCACCACTTTGTTATTTTGTTTGAGGTAACGTAACCCACCTAGAATTCTACCAATGAGGTCTACCTTATACCACCTTTTTCCCTTTTTCAAATGCCATGGAATCCATACGGTCGCCTACATCCAGACAATGGAGACGGCTTTTAACCTTTGTTTGCAGAGGCTTTTTTTCTTAGCTGTAGATGCTTTATTAGGAGTTACTATTCTTGTTCTACACTATTCACAACTCACTTTGGTAGTAAAAATGCCCCGAGGTCATAATCCCCTTTCTTTAGCTTGCCTTTTAAGTTGTTACAAAAATTAGGTTCCAAATTTAGTTAGAAAATTATAAAAAAATAGAAAACAAGCGAATGAGAGAGAAAAAGATCAGGTTTAATTAGCAAAAAGGATTTACGACTGTTTTATTAGATAAAATCCGGTAGCTCAACTTAGTCGGTGCTGCGTGGCCCTCACAGAGGATGCGGTAGTAATGCAAAGTATCGTTAAAAAATTACTTATGTTTCCTTGATTCTAGCTGTGCATTACGTAGAAATGGATGCATTGCATTGAAGGACGTTTACACTTGTATTTGCTGAAGAAGTTATGAAAGCCAGGCAGATGTTAGCCAAAAGGATATCAGTTTCTACCATCTTATACATTGACGAATTTCTTCAATCATAATCCGATAATTTTATAAAGACTAAAGTCCAGTGTCACTTGAAGGCATGCAAAGGGGCCTGCTGTTAAAAATCCTGGACTAGATGCTAAGTTTGAAACCAGTCCCATTCTTACAGGAAGGCGTAGAACTTGCTCTTGAGGTTGGCATCTTAGGGTAGAGATGGAGTGGAGAAGATGTTGTCTCATTCTCCGCATTCCTCTTAAATTTTTAGCAAGTAACGCATTTTTCTGGCATCAGAAAGGATTTGTGAAATGCAATAGCTACTTAGGAAGTAGAATAAAGACCTCAGACCCGATTTCTCCTGATTTTTACTAAGAAATACGTTTCATAAAAGGTCGAATTTATAGACGTCTGCTGGGAATGCCTTCAACCCAGAACAACACCACCATTTCAGTTTTCCCAAATAGCGCCCTCAAAAATGCTTAAATATTTTGCTCTTACTTACCCCTTCTTTATGGGATAGTTGACGTATGATTAACCATTAAGTGAGCATGACTGTAACCACCGAATAACTACCTGGTCATTAGACCCGAAAATAAACAACCTTGAAAAATTTGTGAAGTATCTTAATTTTTTAATCAAGTGAATTTGCACAATTTATTAAGATGATCTTATTTTGGACCTCACTACGAAGAATACAGACAAAACAGGAATATTTTTTCCAAAGATATGCCATTTGAAGGCCATTCACAGGTCCAAAATGTGGACCGTTTGCTACATCAGTTGGAAAATTTAACAGTCTCCTTCATTATTAATTAAATTAAGACGATCTAATCTCGTTCATTTTTTAAGAATCGTTTTGCACTATAAATTAAACTGAGTGAGGAGATTGGTTGGCTAACTAATCTAGCATTTCGTTGAACGCAAAATTGTTAACCGTGAATTAATAATTAATTCTGGAATTCTTATTGAAAGTCGATGTTTTTCGTTTAGAGAGTTTGATTTTTCCTCTATTTTGTTATACGTTAGGATACACCCCTTTTGTCTTGAAAGTCTCAGCATATTACAATGATTTCCTTCACACTCTCAAGAATTCGTCCTCAGTCCTTTTTTAAGACATCCAAACTGCAGTGTATTATTAAAATGTCTGGAAAAAAAGATATAAGAAAAATTATGGCCTTCTGAGCTCTCATGAAGTTGCAAAAAGTCATAATTCTGAAAAAAAGATTTGTTGAGGTGTAATAATTGGCAACGCCCGGAGGCAATGCCTCCCAGTGGAACTGTAGTAGCCGGGAATTAGGTGCTAGCAAAAACAATTCGGAGAGTTAAAACAATTATTAAATCAAATCATCAGTACTGTTTTCTCTCTAGAGTTGAGCCTGGCGTTCCTTTTGGCCAAACCTCAGCGTATGCTACCACATTGTATTCAACGATGCAAGAGAAACATCACCCATAAGAACTGCACCGGTAGCTGAATTTGAGTGAAATTGAAAAATAATTTGACCTCAATGTCAGTGGTTTTCTAGGCAGTTCCACTGATACTAGGGTTTCGCCCTGCTTGGGAAGTGTATTGGGAATATATGCGGCGGGCATCTTGTATGTGCATTGATAGCCATAAGACTTGGTAATAACATTTCCGGTGAGCACGGCTTTGGGGTAGTTGGCTAAGGTCTCCACAGATTCTTCCATTAGACACGTATGTTCTTACGATCTCATGTAAAGGATAATTGCCCTTCATGATCGGATTCTGCTTCCACTGCCACCAATTTTGCTTTTCCAGTCCTACATAAAATTGAAGGGCAGCCTAGTATTATCATGGAATATGTATTTTTGATGTGTGGAAGGGCTGAAAGGCTACTTACGCGACCCGATGGCCATGTGCCTGGTGAAAATACAAACGCGGAGCCCTAAAAGCCTGTAAAATAAAAACCGACAATTGAACAAACAATGAAAGTATTATGTAATCACATGTTTATTAACAAGGGCTGATCAAGGGAAGCTGGAGCTTCTACCTATCCATGCATAAAAGGCACGCCAAGGTAGGAAGGGAGATCCATAAACATATTTCAAAGGTGACGTTAGATACACCTGTGACTGCTTATCCCTGACTGTGAAGTTACCAGTTAACTGTAATTCTACAGTGACTTCCAAATCTCCTAAACTAGGAGAATTTTGGAGTAATGTCAGGGTCATATCTTTTGGCACGGGCACCATTTTTCTCCAGAAATAGCATTTTATAAGTGATGGGCCAAATTTAACCACCACGACCGGTTTTGGCTCTCACTCAGCTCATTGCAATTAAATTTACTTGCGTGTAGGCCAAACGCCTCAGTAGTCTTCTTTAACAACAGTAAAATTAATCACAAGCAACTTCAAGGAAAACAACTTTACTTTTATAGAGGAAAGAGAAGATGGAACGCAAGGGAGGGAGGGGTTAAAAGACCATGCTCAGTAGAGTACTAAAAAGTAAAAATGTTTGTGTTTACTCTGCTTCTACGTTTAAAGTGTGGCAGAAAAACTTGTCGTGCCTAGATAATATTTATTTCCTTATTATAAAGGTCTAGAAATCCGTTGGCACTAAGTCCTGCGTTGCGTGAACAATTAAAATACAACTTTTCTCTCAAAAAGTAACTTTTAGCTTTTCACTACCAAAATGTTAATGGATGTTGCAGAATGGAATTTGAAGGCTGATTCCTGCTTCAAGTCTAATTATCGGAGCGAAAAAGCTTGAGGATCTTAAAATTGCCCATAAAGGTAATAAATGCTCTTTTAACTGTGGGCATTTTAGCTGAAGTTAACTCAATTTACCACCCGGTTTTGGCCAGTTTTTAGCCTGCAAATTAAATTACAAGGTGCAGAATCTCAAGAATTGTAAAACTGTGAGTTTAAAGACCAGGTACGCATTTTTATCTCACACACAGCCACTTTTTACATTGCTGCGTTAATAAAGTTCTTTGTATCTTGTCAGTAAAACAAATTGAAAAGTGACAGTATTTGATGGAGGGCAAGTAAAAGAATAAGGGTATTTCTGTGAATATGTAATGTTAAACAGGACATAACACTGCTCAGGCTTTGCGAGCATGGATGAGGCACAAATGGAAGGCAGGAGCTTACTCCACCACTAAAGCTACTGCCAGGATCCAGTTGGATTGCATTGCCCATACTACTGGAATCAGTAACATTCTAGAGTTACTGTAAAGTAGTCGGAACTGCCTTATATGAATGGAGGAGTGATCGACAAGTCACCGCACGGCAATTGCAGTTTTGTTGATGCAATGTTCAGTGTGTATAAGCAAGTGGGAAAATGTCAATGACTGCTCAAAACTTAGGATGGAGGGGCTAGAGGGACCTTCATTTTGCCGCTTTGCGACCTCTGCAGTGGCGGTGGGTACTGCTTTAATCTCACTTCCTCCGTCCCTGTTACTACTTGTTCATCTTTGGTTCACAACTTTGCCGTAAATACAAAATCTTTAAGAGCATTTACATTACCCTCAGTCAACCTTTTTGAAATGCTTCATTTGTTTATTTAGCTCTTCGTTTTGGGTTTACGAGCATTCAAGGCTCCGCCTCTGTGCACCCACGAAGTTACTCGGCCTTCAGGCCATATCCGTGGCCTCCAGCCCTTTCGTGGGCCAGTAGCAAATTTTCTTCCCTAGTAGAACAACTTCTTTTAATTCCGAGAAAGACTCGGGGTCCTGAAATCTAGACTTCCAAAAGCGATTACATCAGTGGCTTCTTGTGGAAGGCCTTTAGAAGCATTCCTTAATACGATTCCATCTACCCTTATCTACTACGTTTTTTTGAGGAAAAAATGTACTCAATATCCAAATCTCATGATTTCTTGTCCTAGGGAGTCAAGAAAGATCTATCCTTAGCCACCACCTCCTCCTTTTTATCTAGCCCTTGTTCCTCATATGGGTATTTTATCTTCCACTGGGCCATAGCTTTTATAATAAAAAAATGGACAATAATCATCACATGAGAAAATATGCGAAAAGATGGTAGGTAAGAGAACAGCATATCATCCACGACTAATGTTGAATTCTTGCTGTATCGTTCAAGAATATAATTTCCTTTCAATTTCTTAATAACTGTAGCATGCTTCAGAAGAAGAAGCTTTTGTTTCACTCTTCCGATTGGTAAGTAAACCTCAACTGTATTTTTTGTGTGCCCTTTAATGAAATTGATACTTCACTGAGCGTAAGTACGTTTGCAGTTCGCCACGCCTCAAAGAAGCAAGTCCATTCTTCTCTAGGTGCTGTGATGCATGAATTAGAAGCTTTGAGTGGCTTATGTGTAAATCCTTTTAAGAATAAACACTGATGATTCTGTTCAACTAGTGAACGTTAAATAAAGTCCTATCTGCTGCGGTGAAAGCTGTGGAAATCCACTAAAATATGCATTGTAAAACTTACTACCACCTGTAAATGGGGTGAGTAAAACCAATTCTTTTGTTATTAATAACTTTTCCCGTCGATATTGATGGAAACAGGTGGGCCTTAGAATTCTCACACCGAGGGTTTTATTGGAGTTCAGGTGTGCGCCGCTGAGTGAATTGTCACCGAGGTCAGGCAAAGTTTGCTTCTACCTGATACGTCACAGCATATGTCGCAAAGAGTTTTCACAGATTTATACACTTGGTCAACTTGACTTACAAAGCAGCAGTGATATGTAAGTCAGATTTAAGTTGCATTGAGCAAACGAGGTGTCAAATTTGAATGCAGATGGTATGATGTGTCCTAGAATGCTCTGTGTCTGCATGCCCACGGGCACTATTGAGACCCTAATTGGGATGATCAAGGGATAAAGAGACATTATGAGTACATTAGGCACTCAATAAGTCCATTCATGTCTGCTGACTGGGTTTCTAAAGGTCAAAAATGGTCATCATTCTCACATATAGCATCCTGACCGAAAATAAACCCACAGTGATTTTTGGTGGCATATAGACTGCAACTTCACATTATGTTAACTAACAAGAGCTCAGCGGAGGCAAAAAATTGAGAAATGTTTTCCAATATCTGCGAATTTCTCTACCGATCAGCAATTTCTAGAATGCTGAACTTGGAATGTTTTACTGGGAATAGCGACATCCTCACTGAATAGACACTATGATGCAAGTAAATAACCCCATAAGTTGCAAGAAGCCATAGTTTTGACTTATACTGGAAACGACGCAAACTTCTTGGGCCAACCAACAAAACAAGTGGGAAGATAAACACTAAACAATGGTCGAGAATTTTAAAATAAAGAGTAATTTTTCATTTTGGTGAAATTTAACCATTAATTCCTAACTGAAGTATATCCAAACATTTCCTTTAACTTTTCATCTTGCCTTCCTCAAATTATTCTACTTTTCAATATAGCTTACCCAGCAAAGGCTAAGATCTATTAATCGCTTTAAATTACTACAGTACTCAGCTTGATAATAGTTGATTACTGGTGCATTTATTCTGGACTCTAGGGAGAAAGAAGTTTAAAACGTTTGAATTACAAATAATCACCCATTAGTAAAAGCCCGTGGGCTGGATCCCTTGGTAAATGGTACAAAGACCTAACCCCCGCATTAAGTGCACTCTAGAAGGCCATAGCTACACGATCGAAGATTCCCTCATCATATTGAAATGAATATTTTAAAAGTAAAATATGAGTTGTAGGCTTTAAAGATGGTTGCTGAAAAGCTTAAAAGGGGAATGTTATGTTCCCCTAAACTTTTAAAATTGAGGTAGTACGCTCCTATTTTTCGGAGGGAATAGTCTAATTTGCGTTTAATATATAGGACTCCAACATGAAAGTAAACAGAAAAAAGTGGTCTCCTGTAAAAAAAATTATTCTCTTACACCTCAGAAATATGGAGATACTCATGCTAGACGGTTGACCAACAAGACCTTTCTAAATTATGCTCCGTTGGGAAGAACTGTCACTTGTTTGATTCAGGGTGACAAACTAATTTCCATGACAGAGGAGCATTATCAAGCTCTACAAGTTCATTAGTTATGAATCGGTAGTTAGATATTTTATGTCAAAATGAGTATTTTGTATGCCAAAAGAATGTACGTTTATTCCTTGCGTATAAATTTTTCCTTCACAATAAATTGAATGTTAATTGGTTTAAGAAAATATCGAAATTTTGGAAAAAATAAGCCTCATTGAATGGATAAAGAAAAATGAACTTAGTAATCACTTTTAGAGTGGCCAGCCACCAGTCCTGTAGGCCTCAATCATAGTCTCCATCTATTTTCAAGCCCCACAATTATCTAATTCCTTCAACGAAATCACTTGTTTTTTATGTTTTGTGCATACGGCCGTCTCGATATTTCTGTTTACCTCGTGGAAGGCCTAGAGCTCGTCAGACTGCCAGGTCTCTGGTTCGGACGCATGCACGCACAAATTGGTCAGGCAGAAAGGATATCAAGTTCACATCTGTGGCCTTAACGTGTTGCTTGACTCGACAGCCATTCGAGACACCGAACAGTTAAACTCCTTTCTCAGAAAGCGTGCATTTATTTATATTCAGGTATTGTAAAGTACAGGCAGATATGCGGCAACCTTTCTGAGTCCTTCCATTTTCTGTCAGACCTAATAGACGCCATTCAAGGCTAAATATTTTACGCACTAATTTCATTCCAATTCCTCGGTTGAGAGGCTTTATAGGAAAATTTATTGCCTTTTTCTGATGAAAATGTGATACTGGGACATCAAGATGGTTAGGATGGAGGGATTTTGCCGATGGAACACCAACCGAAAGAAAGGATGAAGCTTCGGAAGATCCCCTAGTTTTGGATAGGGTAAAAATTACGTGTCGTTGAGAGTTAAAAGTACTAATAGGTGGAAAGTTGTTTACACCTACATCCATGTTGCTTTTCATGACAGCTAAACGAGTGGCCGCCACCCATATACACTAACAGATGATAATAAGTTCAAACAAATCTCTGCTTCCAAAAGATTTGCACTTTAGAATGAGATAGAGGAAAGAAGAGACTACCTCAGCTTTCTCAATTTCTCTCTTTATTCCTCTATCTTCAAATGCTTGAGAGGCTTTTCTTGGTTTATACCGGTAAAGCTTTTTAAGAATTGGATTATTTTAAGTTTAATTGCCACCCAAAGTAGGGCAGATGCCAAATACTTGGAGGAATCCTCAAAAGTCGCATATTCATAAGTGTTTTAATTTTTTAAAAGCGGATAAATTGCTTGTAAAGTCGTTATAACCTTATTAATTGTCCGAAAAAATCGAGAGAACGCCATGGATGGCAGTAAGCTTTTGTTTAATTTTCAGAGAATCCAAATCTAGAGAAGTTTATATTGCCATCGGACTCATTCAGAGGAATAAAAGATTAAATTGCTTGGCGACGGGTGGAAGGGAGAATGTCTAGGGCTGTTGCAAATGTGCGAAATGTCAGGTATATTGACAGCAGGCGAAATGGGAGGTGAGACGGAGGTGAGATGGACTCAAAAATGGTTTACGATAAAACATAATTGTCATAAAAGAAAAAACAACTTAAAGCCAATTTTATAATAGCGGAAACTGCTGTAAAAATGCAAAAATAAGAGCAAAGCGGCATTAAGAAGTTTTATACGGAAATCATCCCGCAAAATCCTTTTTCATCCAACAAAAACCGAATGGAGGGAAAGTAGATAAGATTTATTGCCTTTTGAATTTATTATTGTGGACGGGTGATGATAAATATGCACTTAGATATAGAAAGCTTCTTTAGCTCGGCTAAAACCTACCTGAGAAATTGCAAAAATCATCCATTTTTAATGTCTGGAACGCGCCTAAAAGAATACATTTTGCATTAAATTCCTTCATTATTGTAGGAATCCCAACCGAATTGAATATTGTGCAGCAATATTTAGAATGTGACATGAGGTCCTTTGATCCCAAAAGCAGGCTTTAGAATGAAGTTCACTCTTGGAGGAAAATGCAAAATAGAGTTTAGCTCAATATACGGCAGTTTTAAATGATTTGTTCAATAAGTAACCATTAGGACACCTTAGTCTCTAGAGAATGTATATCTGCTCTGCGCCATAGCCTTGAAGCTGCACTTGTACGGTGCCAGTCTATTTGTTCAGAAGTAGTGTGCTTCGCCCTTATACGCCGACTTATTACGGATCCAGCTAAGACTTGATAGACAGTATAGCCGGTATAAAGCATAATTTCTGCATTCTTTAGTTTTTCAAGGCCTTATGGCGAATTTTTAGACATTTAAGATTTGCATTCCTCATTTTAGGTCCAAAAAATACATGCGCCTATTTTATGGTAAAGAGTATTTTCATAAAAGTGACAAAAATTACTCCGACAATTTTTTAAGCTCTACAAAGCGATCTGATGAAAGCCACAATGGTAAAATATTATGCCCTTTGCAAAAGGTGTAAAGACGGAGTCTACGTCAAGCTAAAAAGTGGAGAAAACTTGAGATCACTTGCTTACTATTTCGGTATTCCCTTAAAAAGAAAAGTGAGAATAGACCATGCTGTCAAACAAAATATTACCAAAGATGTGGCAAGCTTGTAAGGAGGTCTCATTTCCTAGCCTAGTTTAAAAATTGAGCAAACTAAAAATTGTAACGGGTTTGGCTAGTTTTAAATAAATAACTTTTATAAATAGAAATACATTTTTATAAGGCTAATAAATATGGAATGAAGGAATATGCAAGTACAGCCTAATAGGACTTCAAAATATTTGTTTGTTTTACAAACAAAGTTTTAGGGGATGTCAAAGAATCTCAAATGTTTAGAAATGGGAGAGGATGGCGAGGTCGGTGAGTGCGTGTTGGTGGGTTATGTGGTGAAAACGGGACAATAAAAACGTCAGGTGTGAATTGCGAGAATAAAATGCAGCTGGAATTGGAATGCGGAAGGCGATGCTACGGCTACTGCAGTCCTTTCGACGTGACACACGCCATGGCACCAAGATTGCACAGACGTCACAGCGTTCTTAGTTCTGCAATCCCATTTCTTGGTGATTCCACAAGCCATGAAATGTAGATGGGATAAACTACAGCTGCGTTAATCGCTTGTTGGTAAAGCTAAGCATTGCGTATATATTAATACCACCTTCTCTACCTTCGTGGGTAGAAAAATATTTTACCCATCTTTCTGTTAAAAGACTTAAAAAGGGCAGAAATGGACGTTCATAGAATTTTTCGACAAAAAATTAGTCGCCTTTCTTCACCTTTGACTAAGTAAAAAAACTGCGTAGAAACCAGAGTGCACCCTACTTTTATCTCTGGAAAATTAGGAAAAACATCGTCATAGGTGCATCGAAAATATGTCCCATCATCACGCATTTATTTAGGGTAAACATTTAGGCCAACTTCTTAGCCTTTATAATCACAAAGATCCACGAATACTGCAGTCAGCATTATTTGTTTCCATTGATTATACAAATAAATCGCCTCCTTAGAACCCTTCTACTAAATCACCAAAAAGTGCTGCAATTCATTTAGAGGCATGCAGAGCTGCCGCGCATGTATCCACCATAAAATAACCTTTATCATGTTTATTTATGTATCCACACCTAATGAGGAAAAAAATTAGGCATTCCAAAAGGACCTCCGAGTAATCAGACAATACAAAATATGCGAAGCCAACAGGTAAAAAATCACATAGTAACTTTAGTTTAACCAGAGGTACCACAATCAAGCCAGCCAAGAAAGCTGCATCTTTAAAAGGGAAGAACTTAGATAAGGTGAAAAAGCATAAAGCAGAGGGCAGACAGCAAAAGGCGAGACTTTGCGATTTGAGACCGAGCTTAGCTGCTGGATGAGAATTGACTGGCAGAGAACCACCGAAGTAATGCTACATCACTCCGGTCAGAAAATCGTTTAACTTAACCAAATTGAGAAACCGCAACTTAGGATACAACTTACTTGTGGAATAGAAGGTGGTATCATCTCCCGAATAAATGTGAAGTATTGCAGTGGGTCTACATCAGCCAAATCAGAAAAGTAATGCTTCATGCTACAACATAAGACACGTCATGTCAAAGCAAACTACCAAAGAAGACTTACAAGTTTGGTCAAGTCCACAGGC